AAAGGACCATTCCACTGTTTCTGAAAGTTTTGGCCTCCACTGTGAAACACCTTAAGCTGCGCACTTATTTGTTAAAAGTTAAGATTTTGTTGACACATTTTATAAAAGTAGTGGAAATAAACTAAAGGGTTAAACAAAAGTTATAAAGCTAAAACTAGACTCTTTTTGGGGCTATTCTTCTCTTTAATTTGTTTCTTATAAGTCTCACAGAATCACTGCAGGACAATTTAAATAAATTAAAGTTATTGAATGTTGAAAATATCTGCAGCCTCAGAACAAAAGTAACTCATAAAAACAAACTCTGTGTGTGTGTATGTGTGTGTGTGTGTGTGTGAGAGAGAGAGAGAGAGAGAGAGGATGTCTTGCTCTCTCTCTGCATTCTTAATGAGAGTGTGTATTGTTGCATTGTTGTGTAAAATTAGCAAATGAATAAGCGTTACATAATGACATTCAGTTCCCAGACATTCTTTCACACGCTGCGTGTGTGTGTGTGCCCCCTGTTGTTGTTGTTGATGTACAAAGACATTTTGTTAGAAAAACCCTGTGTGGGAAAATGTATGAATCAGTATGAGCTGCTGCTGTGCCACCGGGCAAGGCACTGAAGTCAACTTTAAGCATTGTACTTTATACTTGACAATATTGAGTTAAAGTAAAAGAAAATACGACAGAGCACCACAGCAGCCAGCAGTGCTGAGTAACATTTAGCCTCACACACTTTTTCAACAGACATGTTTATTTAGTGCTTTATCTGAAGCCAAACATTAAAGTTCTAACACTGTGGACAATCCTTTGCTTCAGAGTGGAAAAAGTTTTGGTCATATTTTTGCTTAATAATAAAACATAGAGCTCGACCCTCAATTGTTGCAGCATGGTCAGAATATATTGGTGAAATCAAGATATTTACTGGCCTATAAGTCAATGATACTCAAATTGTAGAGTCCAGAGGGGAATTTTAATGTTCCTTTTTTTTTTTTTCTTTTTTTTTGCACTCTGGCATCTTTTTACATACAAAGTAAAAAAAAAAAAGTAATATGTTAAATGCATTTTAATATTAAAGCTAACTGCAGTGGAGCTAATTATAAATAAATAATGTATTCCTTTTTTATACTGTTTAAATCAGTTTAAATCACTGCATTTCAAAGTGTTAGCCTATATTTTATATGCTCATTATTACTAAAATCCTCATCTACAATGTGACTACAGGTTCCTGATAAATGTACAACAGTAGAATACACAATGTTTCCCTCAGAGACGTAGTGAGGAAGTAAAAGTATAAAGTAGAATAAAATTGAAACACTCAACAGTGAAGTACCTCAGTATTCTCTCTCTAGTATCTGTCTGTCTGTCTGGTTTGCATCAGTTGTGGTCCTGAGCTGCAGCTCTATCGCCGTGGTGACAGAGAGCAGTCTGGTCGCTATGGGAGACGGGACAGAAATAAGTGTGTGTCATTACATGAGTGTGTGTGTGTGTGTGTGTGTGTGTGTGTATTTGCTTCTCCCACATATAATAATAGGGATACATAACACAGAGCTGTTGTCATACTTTTGTGTGTGTGTGTGTGTGTGTGTGTGTGTGTGTGTGTATATGTAACAGCTGTCTAGACCGTCATGATGTAACTGTTTTTCTGCTGTTTTCACTGTTCTGCTTCACATCTGAAGAGTCTCTCCACAAAACACACACAGTACAACAAGACTGATAACTGTGGTACTAACTGTTGCATCATCAGTACTGTGTGTAGTACTGTGTGTAGTGCAGTGTGTGGTACTGCAGTAGTGTCTGTAGTTTTAATGCTGATTTATACTTGTGCATTGGCTCTACGCAGAGCAGCCTACGCTAGTGGCCTATGCAGTTGTGAGCATTTATACTCGTGTAGTGGTGTGTCTGTGTTACTGCAGTTACACCTCCAAAACACTAGTTGGCGGCGGAGGTTTCTGTGAAGTGCTGTAAAGTTTGATTGATTCAAAACACACATTAAACACAAATAAACATGGCTGAATAGTGACAATGTTAAATGCAAGTACAACATTGGTATAACTCACAAAGTTCACAGACAAAACACTTCTCTTTTGCAACATTTTCCCCACAAATACAACATGCTAACATTATTAGCATAAGCCTATGACATTTTACATATCCTTAAATTAGCCTAGCAGCTAGCAGAGTTTTCCTCTACTCATATGAAGCCAGAAACAAGAGCAACTTTAACAAAGGTAATGTTACAACATTCGGCTTAATTATAACTTATTATAACCCCACATATACAACTCCAGAGTCCATCACGTGATGCCACGGGGTACGTGTACTGATGAGCGGGGTCCCCCAGAGCTGTATCCAGGTGTCCCTATAAATCCATGTTCTAATTACAAATAGCCTACATCACTGGACCAGCTGTTGCTGGCAAAAACCACTAAACCTCTGGTTACAGTAGTAGAAAATACAGCTAGCTTAGCTTAGCACGTAGACTGGAAACAGGTGGAAACTGTGAGCAGCTAGATGCGACATGTTAATGAATGAACTTCAGGCTACCTGTTTCCACCTGTTTCCAGTATTAATGTTAATCTAAGCTAACCCTGCGGATTTCAATCACCCCATGACCCTTCCTGTAGCGCCACCTTCAGGACAAACACTACAGATGTACTCCTCATTTTTAGCTGCGCTACAAAAGAGATTCAGACACTGACTGCAGTCGTGTTTGTTCCTCTTCCTGTCGGCGTTTTCGTCTCCAGTATGAAATTAACAGGAATATAATCCTTCTCTGTTGTCTGCCTTTGCATATTTCATTAATTGGTTGGTTCATCCATCCTGTGTGTGTGTGTGTGTGTGTGTGTGTGTGTGCATGTTACAGTTACAGCCCCAGCAGGGTTTCTATAATAATAATAATGTGGATAACATTCAGCTGCAGGAAAGACTCAGCCTCATTAGATACAGATAACTCTGCAGTAAAAAAATAATAATGTTTTGTCTTCATGTGACGCTCTGCAGGGTCAAAAAGATCAGACAGCACTACCTGTTGCTGCTAAATTAGTTCGAACATGAATTATTAACTGTTAATATTGCAGGTGACTACTTTGATGTGATTGGAAAGTAAAAGTTGAAATAGGACATCTGACTGGAGTGCTGTGCTTCGTACAGAGCCTACAGCTGTAACCATTATTCGGCGTCCTCTCTGTAGGGAGGTGATGGAAACTGTACCGCTGGTTACAGGAACAGTCCCTGTTGTTCTGGGTGCATGTTCATCTCTGTTGCTGGAGCTACAAATTTAGCTTAGTCTGGTTGGTGGTAACGTTACAGATGCAGTGAATGCAACAGGTACCAGAGCTCCAAAAGGACATGTTAGAGAATGGAAATTTAATGTTAGTTAAATATGTGTTAAAAAACAAAGCAGGATTTGCTAAATTGAAGGTGAATTGCTGTCAGAAAGAACAAGCAGTTGTTAGCCACCAAGATTAGCCACTGAGTATAACCATGGACAGTCACTGCAACTAACCAGCTCCCTGCTACACCCACTAGTTGTACCCTTAATCATTTCTACAGTAGCAACAATGTCTCATCCCAAAGTCCAACCAGCGCTTGGGCACTTCCAGCAAAAAAATCAGTCCTTTCACGTCAGCATTATACGTAGCCAGGCGCCTTCAGTGTGTAACTGTGTCCTGTGGCGTCGGGGAAATACTGCCTGATAACATCGTCTGTAAATATGAAAAAAGTCTGAGAGTGGGTGGGAGGGGAGGTGGATGGGCCTGTGTTTGCTTCCCGAAGGGTAGTAAAGTCATATCCTGTTATTTTTTTTCTAATCCTAACCAGTTGCTTTTGTTGTCTAAACCTAGACCAAACCAAGATTAGCTACGAAGACTAAGGCAGTAAGTGTGAGTAACCAGCTTACTGCTATTTCTACTATCTCACTGCAAGTTGCACCATAATAATTTCTACAGTAGCACCTTCAGGAATAAGGTGGATAGGTGAAAATGCCAAAACAAATCATTTTTTAAAAAGTCATATTTTTGACCTTTATAATTACTTTTTACTTTTTATTTTTTATGTAAAAGGCACGATATTCTTATCTTGTATGATGCACCACTAATCTACCTAATAGTATACAAAGTATCTGCGGCTTCACATTGACGAACCACAACTTTAAAATGTTCTTACATGTATACCTTGGTGATAAAAACATAATAATATACTGTAATATTCTATAATAATATAACACTGAAAAAAGATGCACGATAATATCGGCATGTCATCAGTATCGGCCAATATCAGCTTTAAAAATGAACCATCAGAATCAGCCAACATGCTTTTTCTTAATTCACACAATGACTGAATTTTACATCCATTGAAAAGTATTGTATTTCATGTCTCGATCTGTTGGTGGGCCATCAGGATAAGAATATGCATTCATAATATGATGTTAATTCCACAGTGAAGAGACTTAATGATCCCTAAAATTAGATAGGAAAAAAAGTGGATATATCAATATTGGTATTGGTTATCGGTCAAATGAGTTGTTACACATCGGCATATTGGATATTGACAAAAAATCCAGTATCGTGCATCTCTAGTTTTAATACATAAGTACATTTTGCCAATAAGATGTCTGTACTTTTACTTCAAATCAGGACTTTTACCTGTAGTGGAACATTTTTAGACGATGGTATTTGTACTGAGTACAAAGTAGTTGAGTAGTTCCTCCACCACTTTCAGGTTTCCTCAAAGACAAGAGGCTTATAATCAATCAATAATAATCAATAACAATATAACATATCCTGACATTGATAGTCATCCTTATGAAATCAATATGTTGGTTACAGTCCCGTCTTTCTCCTCTTACTGTTGGAAACAAACACACCTGTTGTCTTTGCCCTGCAGCAGCACTCTGACCGACACTGCCCCTTTAAGAGATCCAGGAAGTGCACGGGAGCGAAGGGGGCGGGGTTTTTTGAGGAAACAGGTGTGTGTGCTGACAAAGATGATGTCATTCTGTGGCTGAGTCACCTGGGAGACGACTGCTGAGCGTAGCGTGGCCAGAGATAAAGCTAAAAGAGGAGGCAACGAGCTGCCTTCATCACCCCTGTGTTTTCTCTCAGAGGAGCCGTCGGTGTGAGGAAGGAGGCCCGGCTGAGGAGGAGGAGGAGGAAGAGGAGGAGGCGTTTGAATACTGCTGTTAGTCAAGGTGAGAGAGACACAGAGGGGAATGAATGAGGGAGAGGAAGGTGTTCAATCTTCTCTCCTATGTGTGGGTGAATCATGTCACCAAACTTCATTCAGAAATCTGCTCATTTTATCTCTAACTCTAAACTGTGGAAGTTGGTTTAAGACCTGAACTCTTTAAAGGAGCATGCTGGTGTTTTTGCTTCAGCTCAGTAACTACCAAGTCCATCTGTGTTTACACTACATGGCCACAAGTATGTGGACGCCCACTGTCTGCACACTTTTGGTGTGTGTTCCCTGGTTTTGTCAAACGAAGGAAAATCTTCATGCCACAGTAATAATATTTTTAGCAATACTTTCAGGCTTTTTTTTCAAGCTGCCTTTCTCTGTTTCATATCAGTGTTAACTAAATATCATTCGGTTGTGGGCTGTTTACAGTTTTTTATTTTGTTGCTGTGGACTGTGGGAATAATGATGGACACTTTTCACAATTTCCTGACATTTTAAGGCTTAATTATTGATTGATTGAAGGTCCAGTGTGAAGGATTTAGGGGGATATATTGGCAAAAATAGAACGTAATGTAATCAGTGTATTTTCTTTAGTGTATGATCAGCTGAAAATGAGAATTGCTGTGTTTTGGTTACTTTAGAATGAGACATTTCCATCTACATAGGGAGCGGGTCCTTGTCTGCGGATATTGCCATATTGCACTGCCATTTTTCTACAGTAGCCCAGAATGGACAAACCAAACACTGGCTCTAGATATAGGGACTTTCACCTTTTCACATTTTCATGTTGGCCACCAGGAGCCACTCCACGAAGAAAGGGTAAGAAAAACACACCTTTTTAAACATTAAACTGCTCTATTCAGTGTTTTTATGGGTTTAAATTACTGGGTCAGTTTGATTTAGAGAGGAAGAGACCTCTGTGAATAATTCCCCTTGAACATCTGGATCAAAAAAAGGGGGAGGAAGCATGAAATTATCAGAGAAAATAGGTGAACAGGAGAAGTTTCAGCTGGTTGCAATCCTCAGTCTTTACCACTAGATGTCACTGAATCTCCATAAATCTAAGACACTGGACCTTCAGTTGGAAAATATCATCAATAGTTTTTCTTCCATCTTTGTGGCAGTAGTTTGTCTCTTTCCTGTTTCAACATGACACAAAGCAACAACATTAGGAAATGTTTTTGTAAAACACTGCTGGATGGTAAAGGCTTGTTTTTACGAGAGTGAGGTGTTCAGGTCTAAGTGAGGTGAGGTCTGTCTCATGGAGAGTTTGATCCCAACTGAACACAGTTGTGTTTTTGGCATCTAACAGTTGTTGTGATGTTTTCTTTATACTGATGGTGATATGTGTGGAAACATCAGGCGTGTTGGCAGCTCTGGTGAGGAGGAGGAGGAACGGACTGCTTCAGAGCTCTGTCTGTAATTTGGTTTAGTGGTCAGTTTGGCTTTGGTTCGACGTCACTCCCTGTTCTTTGGTTGCTGTAACTCTGTGGACGAACGCTCTGCTTGTTTGGGTTTGTGGAGGGGAAATACATTCATACTGGATCATTTAAAATTGCAGTTTCCTGCTCTCTTCTTGCATTTGTGACAGTGCTCCATCCTTTTTCTCGTTGCTCTCACCTCTGACCCTAACCTCCTCGACCTGTTGAGTGGCAATCAGACAGGAAGCAGAAACCGCTTGGCTAAGCTCAACCAGAGGAGAAAAAAATCAGGGACTGGCCAAAATTCTGCAGCCATGTTCATCCAAAATATGTCTCATTTGACCAAAATCCCAATTCTCTGAATGCTCATTATCCCAAAACAACAAACGCTTGTAGCTCTGAATTCCCTTTTTTGAAAAGACGCACAACCCAGAACCCAGAAATAATGTTCGTATTGTACAAATAAGTTATATTTGTACATTATTTTTAGTAGATAGTTGAAGTTTTACATTTCTTAACAGCGCTGTGCTGAATGTGTGATTATGTTTGGCACAAAAACCATTTGGTTATGGTTCGGAGAAGATCATGTTTTTGCTTAAATACATGGTTTGGTGGCTCAAACGCTGCTGGGAAACTGAAACTCACCGTAGGCAGTTTGTCTTTTTGGAGAAACGGGACTTTGTTTTTGGGGTAACGTACGGTTGGAGAAATTGGCCCGTGGTCCGCTGGGACATTTTTAGAATTAATGGGGCTTTGAAATTTGGTCTGTTGAACATAGGCATGGCACCAAAAAATCCACCTTAGTTAACAGCAGAGTTTGGACAAAATCTTCAACTCTGCTAATAGTTCTGGGGCCATATTCACAAAACATTCTTGGGCTCAAAGTTTCTACAAACTGGCTGAGTAACAAACTCCAAACTTTGAGACTCTGTGTTTCTGATCAAAGAGCGATCCATCAAGTGTTTTAGCTCTAAAAATATCTCCACATTAGACGTTAGAATGATGATGAAACCGGTTAATAAGGATTCACTTGGCTCAACAACAAATGGAAAGGATCCAGTAACAGCAGAGATGACAGTTTGCACCCTGCTGCTTGGAAAACAATTCATTAAGTGCATATTAAATAATTAATAACTGCAATAAAAATATGAATAAAGCTGATTTTATAACCACCACTGGATGGTCCAGTAAAACCAGTGCTGCTTAAATAATTATAACTCTAATATCTGAAGGCTTTGTTCTGTCAGATGGAAAGAAATTTACAGGCTGATGATATTTTACTTTGTTTCATGTGTGAAATCTGTGCTGCAGTTTATAAAATATATGATTATTATTGTTTTTTAATTAAATCTGTCCATCAGAGTTGTTTCCCAAGGTCAATATCAACACAGTTTTGGGCTGCGGGGAAAAAGTCTTGTTGTCTGCACTTTTCATTAGCTGTAGATATTACCAGAAACCTCCTTTATCAGTTAGATTAATTAATTCTTTACCTCTTAAAACATGAATAATTTGTCTCTTGTCCATTTGTTCCTCGTAAAACATCTTCATTATACAGATTGAAACTTTAAAAGCAAAGTAATAGACATATTAATACCAATAGTAAGTGTATGATAGGTAGTTTAAAGTGTTACAGGTGTCAGTGTGTGACAGAGTAAACAGGTGCTAACAGTCTGTACATACACTCAAAGTGTGTATTAAATGAGTCATTACTGCCCCGGGCTGTGTAAGTGTGTGTAAGTGTGTGTATGTGTGGTACCATCATATGACTGGGAGAGTAAACAGTGCAGATGTATTACAGTGGAACGGTAAGGATGATGTCATGCAGGAAGTAGACAAACACACACACACACACACACACACACGCACACACGCACACACACACACAGACTGTAACTGCACCATATGCACGGTGTCACATAACAGTTTGTTTCTGTGTGTTCAGTTGCTTCAACCAGAAGTCCTTTTTTCATATTTATCCGTTTTGGAAATTCATAAGTGATAACATGGCAGAAAACATGCAGCTTACAGGTGTTCCTCTTAAAAGGTCACATGTGAAATCACAGGTGATATATAGACGCTTTTAGGGCTGTTCTCACGATGACGCCATTTATATTAGCTGGAGGCAAAACACGACTCCACCACACTTCATATCAGGTTAGGGAAAAAGTATTTCCTGTTGTAGGGATGAGTAACGTTATGTGTATTAAGGGTTATCATGTCCACCTCATCAGAAACTGGGGAGGGATTAAGAGGCATACTGGATTTCTCCATAACGCTGACTTTTTAGCACATTAGCTAATGTTAGCTTTGAAAGCAAGGAAACCGTTAAAGCGTTAAACCGTCATCCTCCTTTGTAAGATTGGCTTCCTGTGACATCATCCATCCACTGAGTAAGAGCATACGGGTCAGCCAGTCTGGTCCCGTTGGTCAGTGTTTACTTATTTAAGTAACACTGGCGGTCCTGGAGAGTGAGTGACCTGACATGGTGCGTTTGAGATCAACATTTGTCCGGTACTTTAGCTTGCCTTAATGTTCAAACTGCAGACAGCCGACACAACAAGCGATACCATAAAATCTCACAGCTGACTGAACATGACGTCTTTTATGTTTACACTCTAACACTGACACGTCTCTGTGTGAGTTCTTGGAAAAACTTCTTTTGAACTCTTCCCACCATGACAAAGTACATGTACTCAAGTGCAATTTGAGGCACTTGCACTTTACTTCATTTTCTGCTACTTTATACTTCTTCTTCACTAAATATTGTACTTTTTACTCCACTTCATGTTCAGATGATTCAAATACAACCCATCTCATAAACTGTGATATATTATTTTACATTTAACTACCGAGAAGTATAAAAAGTAATTAAAGTGAGCTTAATCTTTACCAGCTGCAACACATTAATGCATCAGTATTTATAATCCAATAATATATATTATTCTGAAACAGCCCATTCTGCATAATTCACAGTGGCGTCATGTACTGAAGTCATAATACTTCAGTATGGGCGCCCATTAGCTCACCTGGTAGAGCAGGTATGCCATATTTAAAGGCTTTGTCCTTGTAGCAGCAAGGATTCCAACCTACGGCCCTTTGCTGCATGTCATCCTCCCTCTTTCTCCTTCCTTCATGCTAAAACAACTGTCCCATCGATTAAAGGCAAAAAAGCCCTAAAAATCTTTTTAAAAATTGATAATAATACTTTGTTACAGTACTTAAGTATTTTCTAGTATTTGTACTTAACTTGAGTTTTTATATTTCTGTCAACTTTCACTTTTACTCCACTACATTTCCTAAATAGATAGTATACCCTTAATCCAATAAATTTCCGCTGAGACTCTGTCAGTTACTACAAAATAGTTAGGGAAAGGATGGATGGACACACTGGCGCTATTTTGGTCCGCTTTAAAGGAACCCTGTTCCGCTTGAAAACCGGGGGTCTGTTGTGTTTCACTTACAATGGGAAATACAAATGGACTATCCATCGAACCAAAGAGAGGAAGTGAACCAAAGAGAGGAAGTGACGTAGAGCGTAGTGCATTTTGGTGTTTTTGTGGTGACTAAGCCGACTGAAGGGGATGGATTTTCA